AATGTCTGTGTGACAAAGCCACATGAGAAGACTGCCAGTTTACAAAGACCTCTTTGAATACAGTGGACACTGCCTATAATTTGCGCTGGCTAAAGATGTGGACAGACTGTGTCATGAAGACCCTGTTAGGAGGGTTGTCTTTCTCTCTTTCTGTCTCTGTTGCTCATGGAAAAAAAGGAGAAGAAGAAGAAGAAAAGTCAGCCCCTGTGGCCTACCGACTAAAGGAACTGGATCCTAAATGGCTAACTGTGCAATTTGAATCCAAGCCCTAGAAGCTTGAAAAACACACCAGGTGTGTATGTGCGTCCAAAATCCTGATAGGATGGAGAAATGGTGAAGGGACTGTCACATGACCTTACCCCCATGGGGCGTGCTTTCTCCCTCCCTCTTCCTCTCGCTGTCTCTCCCTCTCTCTAGTGAATATGTTTGCCCTCTGGCAAATTAGAATGACACTAAACTAATGGCATAGTTTCCTTGAGAAAATAAACCTCCATGAAAATTGGTAGTATTTGAGGAAAACAAGAAGTCATGACTTAATTTTTTTCTTTCAATTTGCCAGAGGGCACTTAATTTACCAGAGCGCATGCGCAATAACCAGAGAGCGCGGCAGGGCAAGTGAGAAAGCACCCCCCCATGGAGCATGGTCATGCTACAATCCCTTCTCCCCGCTTTCTCCCTCCTTTTGGAACTTTGGGCAGGCATACAAATGCACCCGGTGTCTTTCTCAAACTGCTGGGTCCGGGACGCAAAATGTGTAATCGGTCATGTGAAATCCAGCTGCCTTAACCACCACTCAGGGGACTGGCCCAAAGAGTACTTTTTATTTTAAAAATAATTGTAATTTCTTCAGTATAATGCGTAAACCAGTACGCTTCCTCAAGTGCCCAGCTGATTCTGAGGTACGATTATTTTGCTCTGGTGCAATCGAAGGAATACGACCAAAGGAAATGTCACTGGTGATGGCTGATGTCCGAAACGTTCCATTTAATGAAAAAACAAACAAACAAACAAAAGGAACCCAATATACTTCATATTCCACACATTCTGCTTCTATGGCGATCTTTAAAACTTAAAGGTTTTAAAGGTATAGGCTGAGTATCCCTAATCCAAAAATCCAAAATCTAAAACTTTTTGAATGTTGACATGACACCACAAGTGGAAAATTCCACATCTGACCTCATGCTATAGGTTGTAGGCAAAATACTGTAATACAAAAATATTATATAAAGTTACCTTCAAGCAACATGTGTAAGGTATGTATGAAACATAAATTAACTTTCTATTTAGACTTGGATCCTATCACCAATATATCTCATTTTATACATATATATATGCAGATCTCATTATATATATGCAAATATTCCAGATATTCCAAAATATGAAAAAAAAATCCAAAATTTAAAACACTTTTTGAAACCAGTAGATGACGTGGTGGTTAAGGTGCTGGACACACCCATATGGCCAACCGTGGTTCAAGTCCTCGACCTGGCGGTTTTCTTTCTCATTTTCCCCCTCTCTCTCTCTTTCTTTGTATGTGTGTGTGTGTGTGTGTGTGTGTGTGTATGTGTGTGTGTGTGTGTGTGTCTCAGGTCAAATTAAAATAAATAAATAAAAATAAATAAATAAATAAATCTTTAAAAAACAACAACAAAAAACAAGAACAAAAAAAACTACTTTTGGCTCCAAGCATTTTGGATAAGGGATACTCAGTCTGTATCTATGATTGACCTGATGACAACTTACACATTTTCCAAGTCATCTTCTGACATTTTTTTTTTCCAATTTTTATGCCAGAGGTTTCACATGCTCTCTGGAAAGAGACAGAGACAGACCGAGGGAAAGTGAGACAGCACCCCCCCCCCATGGGGCATAGTTACACTGTATTTCCCTTCAGCACACATGCACACATACTCAGCATGTTTTTCAAGCTGCAAGGTCTGGGATGCAAGACTGTATGGTCAGCCATGTGGGATTCAGCTGCTTTAACTACCAGGTCACAGGCTGGCCTACAACTTCTGACTTCGGAAACAGGTATTATTAGTCTAGCTGCAGTGGCACACAGGTAGCCCCATTGCTCGAGAGTCTAGAAGCCATGTGAGAAGCTTGGTTTTATTCATGGTCCAACCTGAACATGGAGGATGGCCACTCCACAATTCCTTCTTTTCCATGTTCCTCCTGGGATTTGGGGCATACATGAATGAACACACAATCCAGTGTGATTCTCAGGCCTCTAGGTTCAAGACTCAAACAACAGTTAGCCATGTGGGAGTCCAGTGCCTTAACCACCCACACTACCTGCTGGTCCCAAGTTTCCTTTTTTTAATTGACAGATAAAATTGTAGATATTTTTCTTGTTGGTGCTTTTTATGTCTTGAATTACATACATATTGAGAGTTTATTTTTAACCTAGTCTGTAGAAATGATCTTACACTTTTATTTATTTTAACAATTATTTTATTTAACTTTATTTATTTATTTATCTGTTTGTTTATTTTAATTTGACCAGAAAGGGACAGACCAAGAGAGAGGGAAAGTGAGAAAGCAAGCCGCCAGGTGCAGGACTTTAACCATGGTCAGCCATGTGGCAGTCCGGTCCCTTAATCACCATGCCACCTGCCGGCCCACAATTTTATTTTTCATACATATTTTTAAAATTTTGCTGTAGGGGACCAGCAGGTGGTATGATGGTTAAGGCACTGGATCTCACATGGCCAACTGCACAGTTTGGGTCCTGGACCTGGCAGCTTGAAAAACTTGCTAAGAGGAGACTGGAGAAGAAGGGATTACCACGTAACCATCCTCCCTGAGAGATGATTTTTCACTTTCTCTCTCTCTCTTTTTCTCTCTATCTCTCCTAGCAAGCACATGTGCCTTATAGAAAAAAAAATGCTATAGGATGCATGTGGTTGTCTGAGAGAAAGAGAGAGAGATAAAGAGAGAAAGAAAACAATCCAACACTCCCCATAAAATGGCCACATCATACTCCCTTCTCCATTCTCTAAGGATTTAGGGGCATACATGGACACTCTCTAAGCGTGTCTTTCAAGCTGCCAGGTCTGGGACTTAACCCACAGTCAGCTATGTGGAATCCAGCCGCCCAACTATCACACCACCTATCTTACAAGTTCAAAGTCACATGATTATAACTTTTCATTTCGTGAATGAGCAGTTTGAGGCCCTGTGTGATTTGGTAGCATCCAAACTTGCTAGTTAGTGGTGGAAGTCAGATCCAAACTCTAGCCAGGGTCCATCCATATGCTTACCCTCCACACGCCCTTGTTTTCCATTAGCCCAGGCCATGTGGATCCTAGGCAAGCATCCTAGCTTTCTCTAGAACCTTCAGTTGGATTTTGGTATGGATCCTGCTATGCTTCTACAGTCCATTTCATTATGATCATAACTATTGCTCATTACATAAAAACGATTACATTGCCATCTTACATGAGCGTGCTGTGAAGCTACAGATTTTTTTCCAAAACGAAGTTTCAGGGGAACTAATTTCCATACAACCTGTGCTTTGAGCCGTGCACAGCCACTCTCACCCAGGAACAGCGGTGACAGCAATTTTCCTGGGCAGACCTAAAAATCAAGAGGCATTTCTGACTGCGTGACCTGGGTTAGAGAGCATGTTAGAATCCAAATGTTACCCTGCACAGCCCCAGTCCTGGCCCCCAGCAGGAGCAGCTGTGGTGGCCGGCACTCTGGGAGATCTGGGAGGCAGGTGATCATCCTTATTTAGATGTGCCAGGGATCACGTGACCAGAAAATGGAGGCGAGTCTGTATTTCCAGCTAACTGCTTCAGAAGGGAGATGCTGAAGAGCTATAGCCACGCATCCTTCTGGTCCTCCCTTTAGCGAACCTCCTGTCATCCTCAAAAGGTAGGTGGATCTTAGGGCGGCTTTAGGAGGATCGGGTGTGGGGAGGACAGATTGCAATGGAGAGTGTCGTTGTTGAAGACTCCTCTACTGCTGCTGGCAAATTGGAGGGGGAGAGAGGAGGGGGATGAGAAGATGCCGAATTCTGTCCTGCCCCTTGTAACTGACAGCTGGCAGCTGTGTTTCATTCTGTATCAACTGTGGTCTTTATGTTACCCTGCCCCTCTCTTGGCGATCAGGTAATTAGTGGGCACAGGTTCTGCTTATTTATGACCATTTTTCCCCTTTATATCTGGGATGAAAATGGAGATAGAAAAATCAAAGGAAGTGACAGTTTTCAAACTGTGTAGGACTGTTGCCTAGTGAGTGTATAATACCTTTCTGGATATTTTGACAAACAGGATAGCCCTGATAGTGACATTTTTAATTTTTCATGTGACTTTTAGTAGTTATGGAAGCTAGTAACGTATACTTCTCTGTTTTTCTAATAAAATCCTATAACCTTTCCATTGTACCGGAGTTTTAAGCTGCTGAAATAGGTCATCCTCAAAAACAGGCTATGTGTTCTTTGTCTTTTCAAAATCAACAGACAGAAAGAATATATGCTCTTATAGAATATCAAAAATTTTACTGAGAAACTTTGTTATGTGAAAAACTAAAAAAAAAAAAAAAATTACCACTGGTTAATGTCACCTGAGAATACATAGGCTACTAAATTCCTGTGTGAAAACTGGAAAACAAAACTAGGTTCCCATTTAGAAGTGATTTAAAATACGATTCTGCCTGGGATCAGAGGACTGGCCTTGTAGGTTTAAGGGCATAATCTCCATAAGCTGCTGCCCTCTTTGATATAAACTCTTGACATGCTTTGAGCTTATGTAAACTGTATACAAGCGCAGCTTCCTGGACCACTTCCAGCCAGAGGACTGTCCAGCCCCTCCTGTAGAGAAAACTGGGAGTTGCTCCTGTTCCAGAAGCGTTCGTTTTGATAAAAATTGTCTTGAAATCGTAGCTGATCATATGCATAGAATGTAAAACCTGGAATCATTCAATTAAAATGCCTGAGGATCAAAAAATGCCCCATGGAATTTTTCTTAGTTGATAAGAAAAACATATCTTCTTACCTGAGCGGGAAAGAATGACTTACGGAAATGTCTCTATTGGCGATACTTTCAGGATAATGAAAACTCTACAGAAAGCTCTGCTTTAAAAGAGTCTGGACCTTGCTCTGCAAATAAATCACCAGAGGAGGTGGTTGTCTTTCACAGTCGGCAGCACCTAGACACCTCCCCAAGAGATTTAGCTTTGTAATGCAAAGTAACTCTTTATGTCCTCAATGTGGTCTAATGCCTCTTAGGTATTTAAGGATAGTGAGGCAGATTCTCTTTCCTATTCTTGAGGAATCAAATGAACTCCCTCCCCCCCATTGGTTAGGGCTCCCTTTGGTGCCTCCCTGTGAATTAACATATTAACTTTTCTTTCAGTTTCCATTTGGCTTTGCATTCTTGGGTGGCTTTGCACTTCTGAAAGGATTTATCTCCTCAATAAGAGATTAAAGCATGATCATTCTTTTTTAAAAAAGAATTATTAACTTTATTTGTTTATTTATCCATTCATTCTGAGGGACAGAGCCTTCTTCAGTGTATATTGTATAGGACGGTAAAAAGTTTGTGTGAGAGTAAAAACTTTTCCACATTCTTCACGGTTTCTCACCAGTAGGTGCTCTTTTCTGTACTTGAACGTGACTGGAAGAGCTGAAGGCTCTCTAAACTATACACAGGTATAGTTTTCTGCCAATATGCATTCTCTCATTTTCTTGCAAATACCCTAAAAAACTAAAGGCTTACCCACACATTATATACATTAACACGGGTTCTCCTTTCTTGATCTTTATACCTCATACTTCTTTATTAGCTGGAAGACAAGGGGTAAGATTTACACATAGGTTTAGGTATTCAGTATAGGTTACACCACCAAAGCTTGGGCTCCTCTCCAGCAAATAAAAACTGCTATGTTTTTTTTCTTCTTACGTAGCCTGGGAAATTGCTTGCCCTTTGTTTGCTATGTCAAGATTTTTGCAGGCAGGGCTTTTCCATGAACTAAGTTCCCGAGAGTAGTATTTGTATTTGAGATGGTTTCTCAATTCTTTGTCAATTGCAGTGAATGGTATAGCGGAGGGAAAGAAGGGATAGGAAGGGGCCCAGGGGAGCGTAGTGAATGAAGGATGCATGTATCCTGTCTGCTTCAGAGCTGACAAAGAACATTTGAAATGGCTACTGGGTTAATAATGGCGGCAGTCAGAGGATGCTGGTGGATAGGTGCATAAAAGGGCGTAGAGGAAAAGGCAGGAGTATACACTCTCATCTGAGCACCATTATTATTTGAGAGCTGTTGCCAAAGTTGATTTTACCTTGTTCTGATAGCAGGCCATTTGCCTGCTCTTTGGATAGCTGCCTCATTCTCTGTATCATTCTTGCATCCTGAGACTCAACTGCTACAGTAATATTAAATGAGATAAATCTTAGAATTCATTTGGGTTCACTGCATGAGTTGAGAGGCAAGAAAATGAATTGTAGTTAGAGGAAGTAACTAGCTTAAGATCACCCAGTCCATGGCTGTGCTGGAATCAGAACCCAGGTCCTAGCTTTTGATCTTGTGTTATTTTCTCTTAGCCCAGAACCTTTGAGGAACTCTCAGCAAAATTTGGATGATGCATTTAAATTTCCTCATGCTTTAAAAACAAAGTACTACTTCTATTTTCAGTATAATGTGGAATTTCCTAATTCTTTTACAACCTTCATAGTTTATACATTTGGGAAAAATAAAACTGAACTCCCCTTTCAAAACTTGTGCATTTAGTATGACCAGAAGGCTGTCCCTAAGGATGACACATGACCTGAAAGTAATTAAGATGTAATCTCTTACTTGCAAAGAGCAAGTGAAATCAGTTCTGGAGGCCGTGGAACAAAGGAATCCTGGGTACTCGAAGGTGAGAGTGTTGCTCCACTTTTTTGCTGCAGAGGAGCAAATACTGGATTCATGGATGAGTTGAATTCAGTAGGTTGAGGGGAAGGAACATATCAGCTGGAGGAAATACAATACACCAGGGTATAAAATCAAGAAAGCCACAGTTGGACTTGAAGACTAGGAGAGTCTCATCTTGCCTGGAGGGCAGAACAATTGCGGGAAGCAAAATGTGAATTGATCTAAGTGGTTGAGTTCCCTAAGGATTAAATAAAGAAGTTTGTATTGTGTTGGCGGTGAGAAGCAGTGTTTTCTGAACTGGGTGCTGAGGTCAGCAATAGACTGGCAATGGTGTGGGAGAAATGAGAGGTAAGACAGGAGACGGTAGTTCATCTGAAAGATAGTCAAGGCTGGAATTGTACCTGAGATGGAAAGACAGGAGGCAGTTCCAGAACTCCGGACATGGAAAGAAACTGTACACGTTACCTAAAAGTTGAGGAAGGGGCCAGCAGATGGTGTGGTAGCTAAGGTGGTGGACTCCCACATACCAACAGCAGTTCGAGTCCTGGACCTGAAGGCTTGCTTTCTCATTTTCCCTCTCTCTACTTCTCTCTCTCTCTGGTGAGTACACATGTCCCATAGCAAACTTAAAAATAACAACCGTAATAATAAATAAAATAAATTTTTAAAAAATTGAGGAAGATGAGGACCTACTAGGGAGGTGGCAAATCTCATAATAGGTAATCGTTTCATTTTTCATGACAGAATCTGCAGCCTTGACGAGTTCCTTGATAGGAATTAATATAAGCAAGGTGAAGAAGACAGGACACTCTCATCAGATGATGAGCCCCTCTGGTAGCCGTACTGCTGAAACCACATCTGGTTCATCACCCTTAGGCCAGGTGCCAGTGCTGGACTATGGTCTCTATGACTATACTCTCTTGGTTACTGAGAGCACAGGTCAACAAACTTCTGTTTATGAAGATGTTCCTGTTAGGGTGGGCTGTGAAGAAGATGGTGACATTTTCTCCATTGCCCTCTTCCTTCCTGGGCAGTGAGTGTGTGATTCTAATCTTACAGAGAGGAGGAAAAGAGCACTTAACTTCAGAGCAGGAA